TGTAATAGTTCTCGTTTCTATAAGAACGCATACAAAAAGTTTTGTCTTTTGAAAATGTTTCAAGTGAAAGTGTTGGTGTATAAAATGTTTTTGTTGTGAGCAAGTGAGCAACTAGGAGCATCCTACTTATTCAAAAGGTCTTAATGTTCTTTTCCTCCTTCTTTAGATGTTGATATCTTACCACTGATTTGGTAAGAAGCCCCATAATTGGATGTGAAGGGATGGGCATTTGTATAGTCATAGAAGGCAACCTATGGGAAGTTTTAACAATGTCATTTAGGGACTAGATCGTTTACCGAAGGCAACATTAAGGGTCATCGAGGGACTATGATCTTTTATTGAGGATCTTTGCTAAAAATGCCCATATTCGAGGGACATGACTATTTTTCGAGTCAACAAGTGAGATTACCCTAAGGGTGCATGTGTGAATAGTGTGTTTGATTTGCATGCATTTTGTCTTTGAACTTTAGGTTATCTACTTGTTGTTTTTATCTTGCCATACATCCTAATTTATAACATTTGTACAAAAGTAATAAAAATGCAGAAAGATAAATCCTACACTATTACAACCATATTGAATAGCATGAAAATGTAAATATAAAACAAAAATAAAAGAAATAAAAATGGATGCTTCGATCTAGGCAGAAAAACCCTTCGATTCTGCCCTTTCTAGCTTCCTTCGATTTGGGCCTGGAGTCAGTGGGGTCATGCCTTTCGATTGGGCCTGGCCTGAGGCATGAGATGTAGCCTTCGATTCTGCCTTTCTACCTCCTTCGACTGGGGACTGGAAGTAGCATGGCCATCCTTTTAGCTGCCTCTTTCGTTCAGCATGGAGTGCCCTCTTCACCCTAAGTCCCTTGATGCCTCCTTCGATTGGGGCTTGGAAGTAAGTGTGGAAGCCTAAGGCTTCGTTTCATATCTCCTTCCTCCTGTTTCCTTCATTTGAGATTTTAAATAGAAACATGGACTACGATCATGATAGCATTACCTTATGGTCAGGTTAGTTCTTAAAGCATATTTAACAAACCAAGAAACAAAACTAAAAGGAGTAGCAAGAAGAAAAAAACTAAAAGGGTGGAAAGGAAAAGGAAACAAATACTATGTACATGCTTCAAACGAAGAGTTTAAGGTCAGAATGACTTACCTTGTTTGAAGCCAGAACATGTGTTGGACTTTGAGTGGCTTCCTTGAGTGTCCCTGGATTTGAAGGGAAGGAACGAAGGTAACGTTTATACTGCTTGATTCGAAGGAGAAGAACAAGTGAGATGTTCTTTCTACTGGATTCGAAGGGAAACAAAACGTGGGGATGTCTCAGATTCAAAAGAGGCAAGTGTTTAGATTCTGGGTTTGTGTTTGAAAATATGTTTAAGAGTTTGATGATTTTTCTCCATGCCCCCAAGTCTTTGGATGTGTGTCCAGCCCCTTATACATGTTGTGGAGCCTCTTATTTATAGGCAAAGCTTGGCTGAGGTTTTGGAGGGAAAACAAAACCATTTGAGCAATTTGAGTAAACTGCTTTTTGTACCTTTCAAGGGACAGTGTTTGTATGCCATTTTGGTGCAAGAATGGGGCAGTGTTTTAGGACTATTGTGCAGCAGTTTTGGTCAGTGTACCAGGCCTGAACTTGGCAGCAAGCATCTTCGAATATTTCATCCTTTCGTTTTGACCCTTCTTCGACCAGATTCTTCTTCCAACAATGTTATTTGATTTTCCTCCAAGGATCATCCGCAATTCACTCCTAACAATAGTGAGTTTATTATTACCTCTCTACTATATATAGAGAATGCACCAAATTTAGGTAACGAATTTCAAATTCAAATTTAATTCACTCTTATCCTTAACACACTGACTTGCGTGTTAGAGTGTTAACCTTGTAGATTAACCCCTTTTCTACCCTGCTTGAAGCTTTGATAATGCATCACCATCGCTTCTCACTCCATTTATGGTTCCAAAGTGGAACAATTTATAACAGGTGAATAATAGAAGGATCTTGAAGGCAGAAGCACTTCTCAATTGACATGGCATATAAACTTCCAAACGGGGTTACTGATGGCTACAATGAATAAACATAGCTAAAAATCTCTTTGTTGGGGGATAGACGTAGTTGTTATATTCATGTATTAAATAGGTCACGGTATTCTATGTAATTCTACTCAAGCTTTAATATTGTTGATGTTTTAATCTCAATTCCTCTTTTGAATTTGTCACCTAAAACTTGTTTTCATGGTATGCTTGAAATTCGAAATATGCTTGTCATTACTAGATCTAAGATAATCATCTATTGGATATTAATGCCTAGACATATGGTTAAATTTAATATCTACACATACTGTAGTAGGATCAGTGTGGAGTCTTGGTGTTTTATAAATGTTGGAACTTAATGATATGTGTTGGTTAATAGACCGAAATATCAATTATTAGGTAACACATTAATCTGACGACGTGGAGACGGAAATAAGATATGAATGCGTGAAAAATGTGATAATATTAATAGTTGAGTAAATGAGCATATTATTGACCTATGGTTATGATATATAAATACGTAATGATAAACTCTACCCCTAGTAAGCTTTCTTAATGTTAACACTGAAATCTCCATTTTACTTTTTGTCATTTATTTTCTCGCTTCAAATAAAATATAAAATTATTCTCTACTTGAAATCTTATAAACTGTTGAACATTATTTGAAACAACCACTCTATGTGGATACGATAATTACAAACTTACTTTTGTCTCACAACACTCTTCTTCATCCATACGATGATTACTGTCTCTCTTCGGGACCCGACTAGATACTTGATTCCTTGCTCCCTGACCTTTTCGTCCCTATTCACCTAAGAGATTTTCTTCATAATTCATATAGGGATGTACCCTCTTTAGTAAGTTACTTAAGCTACAAGATCCATATTGTAACTTGATATAAATGGTTAGGGCTATGGGGAGCCTGTAGCTTCAGTAACTAACTAAAGAGGGTACATCCCTATAGGGATGCCTCACGATTATGTTGTCCCTTGGTGGAATGTACTACAAGTTTTCTTAAATTTTGAGTATCCTATCTGCTAAGAATTTAGAGCTTTATTGTTGGACTTGGTTGTAAATGTTGTTTAGAAGATCAATGGCTCCCTTCATACCTAGGTTTTCTTGTAGTAGTTGTAGGTTTGTAAGCATTTTTTGTCCAGGTGTAATGGTTGGGGAATAGGTCAATTAAACGGTTCACCTTGGCTAGGTTGTTGCTGATGTCTAAAGAAAGGGATGGTCTGAAATGCTCCATGGCCAACTCTTGGATGAACGGAGCTTTTTGTGTAGGGCTAGATGAAAATCCACAAGAATTGGATCATTATCCATTAGAGGAGGAGGAGGCGGTGAACCTTTGACAGTTTCAGCGATCACAATAAGGGATTTGGTAGATCGAGTGATCTTAGAGGATATTATAGCTTGAGGAGTTTGGCATTTGATTTGTTTGGAAAAGAGATCAAAGGCTCATGAAAATAATATCAGTGAACAACTAGGAATAAAGATCGGTGCTTCACAAGAAGAAAATCGTTGATCTGGATATTTAGGGATGAAATAATTATTCTTCGTAGAAATTTGTAGGAATTTGAAGCCGATTCCCACAAACGGCGCCATTGTTCCACTAGAGAATGATAAATGATTGATGAAATGGTGAGCTAAGATCTTTGCACAGTGGAACAAGTCTCCAATACGCGCAAAGCGTGCGGGAAACCTACAAGATTAACACTCCAATAGAAAGTTAGTGAAAGAATCAAAAGTGGCATGAGAGTGAATTCAAATACTTGAATTGTCGCACTTTCACTTTTATAAAGCATGAGCGGTTAATATTATGACATATTAGAACATCCACATCCATCATACCCATTTAGGTTCTTTAAATGGGACTCACATAATTTTTTATATTATTTCACACTTCTCAATTTTTTAAACAACTCATCTACAATTCTCAAATATCCATGTAACTCATCAAAAAATCTAAAATGGGTACCACATTTAAAACAAATCAACTACATTCTTACAATTTTATTTATTAATTTATTATCATGACCCACTTAATTGGAGTGTAGAAGCGTGTTTTAGTATGAGGGCGTGCTTTAGTTCAGGAACGTGAAAACAAGTGAAATATCCATTTATTATTGACACAATTTCTTTAAAAAATGTGTAGGAACTCTCAAAGAACACCGATAATCATACTCTTAGATAACTCTTTATTGCATATTCATATAATAAATATCATTGTTTGATTGAAAGTTGTTATCATATATGTCATCATATCTAAAATTTATATTAACTAACAACTATTTAATATGTCAATAAATTATATAAAAATTAATATGTTTGTTAAGAATTTGTAAGATGTTGATTTTTATATATTTTATTGATATATTAAACAAACACTAGTGTTATATTTTATATAAAGAATTTATTTGATAGTAATTTTAAATCAATAATAAATTTTTTATATCAGATTAAAAATATATATTAAATAAAACTACATTATTTTAATAATTTAATTTGTGAGTATTGTGTAAATTTGTAAAAAAAAACAACTATTGAGACATTCATTCTATTAAATCAAATCATTTAAATATTTATTATGATATTTTATTAAACTAACCAATAAAAATGTTATTAAATTGTAATATAATCGAATGTAATAGTAAAATGTTTACATAAAAAATTTATATATTGTGTTAAGCCCCCTCTCTCTATAGAGAGGAAACGTGGCACAAAATGAAAAATTACTTTTATAAGAGTTTGTATTGACCGTAACAACTCAGTCAAATAGTGGAAATAGATAAAGATAGGATTCACGTAGATTGCAAAATAACTCCCGCCATTTTTTCACGTAGATTGCAAAATAACTCCCGCCATTTTTTCTTTCAGTTAATGAATTTTGTGCTATATATATTCGATCATCAATCTACCTAATCATCCAACAACTTTGAGTTACGTTTCCTTTAGAAAAAAAATCTTAATCTCTTACAATGGCTCAACTCATTTCTCGTGAAGAGCGCCAAGGAAAGATCAATGCTGCATGTGCTTCACTTATTGAGTTTGGTTTCCCCGTGGATCTGTTTTCAGTGAAGAACATTTTACGTCTCGGCTACACGGAGGACGAGTTTATAGAGTTTGTTCAACCCATTTCCTCTATCACTGATATGAGAGAGTTGGAGTATCTCTTCAAGGAAGCTCGTCAGAGTTTGCATTATTCAATTTCCACTGAATTGAAGAAGTTCATGTACTGTGTGAACTGGATCACGAATTCTGAGCGAGGCAAGAAAATTATGCTTGCTTTGAAACGCTCCAGAATGAGTAGTGTTGAAAGTAAAGAAATGTCTGAGGCTGATCTCAAGATTGGTCACATGATTGTGAAATCGGTTGCTTCACGTAAGCAAAGGTGCCGGCAAATTTCCTCGGAGATTCAACAGTTGAGGAAACGTCAAGAAGATTTGGAGATAGAATCTGAAAGATTCTATTCTGAATCAAAGGAAGAGTTTGGTCCGTTTTGGGGCTACAATGAGCTTCCCATATTTGAATTGAGACTTCAGTGCTACGAGCTATACTTGGAGGATTGTAAATCCAAGGGTATAGATGCCCTCCCTATCGATGAATTGGGTTTTGATGTCCTCTTGGAGTCTTTTGGCAGCATTGTGAAAGAGCGACATGTTCTCGAGTTCTTGAAAGAACCAATCATGAAAGCTCCGTTTCAAAACTATTTTAGAGAAAAATTTACTAGTCTTGCTGTTGACGGTGTAGATATGAAGTACGTCGGTGGTGGCAACTGGGTGATTGCTGACTCAGAAGTTTCCGATGGGATTTATATTCCTGGAGTGAAGGCTACCCACGGCAAGAAGGCAACCGAAGACGGCGAAAAGGCCAAGGAAGGAGTTTCCGAAGACGAAAAGGCCAAAGAAACTGTTCCCGACGGCGAAAAGGCCAAGGAAGGAGTTTCCGAAGACGAAAAGGCCAAAGAAACTGTTCCCGACGACGAAAAGGCCAAGGAAGGAGTTTCCGAAGATGAAAAGGCCAAAGAAACTGTTCCCGACGACGAAAAGGCCAAAGAAGGTGTTTCCGGCTTTGAAAAGGCCAAAGAAACTGTTCCCGACGGCGAAAAGGCCAAGGAAGGAGTTTCCGAAGACGAAAAGGCCAAAGAAACTGTTCCCGACGACGAAAAGGCCAAGGTAGGAGTTTCCGAAGATGAAAAGGCCAAAGAAACTGTTCCCGACGATGAAAAGGCCAAAGAAACTGTTCCCGACGACGAAAAGGTCAAAGGAATCTGAATGGGAAATTTGTAGTGGGCTTACAAATACTTTCATTGGGCCATTAAAAGAAAGCCCAACTAGGGACTCAGTATTTTGGTTATTTTTTTACCTAGTACTTAGTCTTTAAAATCAGTATTGTATGTGAAACACCGCAGCTTTAATCTTTCAATGATAAATATAAATTTTTCTTTGTGTACTTGATTTCAATTCTATGGCTGTATCATTTAGATTCACTTAAGAAACATGGCTTTTAGGTAATTGATTTTAAAAAGATTTATCATTTTGGGGCCATGATCTGGTTATACAATTGACTCTTCTGCTGCTCCATTCTGTTACTCGGAGTTCCGTAGTTCCACAATCTGCAAATTTCAAGGCAATATTATGCTTTCTTTCTGATATTGACTGAACCGTTATGCATTCTGAGATATAGCAGATTATGTGATTTCCTTTTTCACAACTCTTCTTCAGCTTTTCTGTTCTGAGATAAGGTAATATTGCTAGAATCGCGGTGTTGCAATCCAAACTCACGCACAATGATGTTCTCATTTATACTTTTGTACACTTGTCATAGATTTCAAATTCACTTCCTAATACTTTGTAACAATGCTTTACCCGGTTTTTTCAAATTCACATCCTTTTATTTAAATCTTTTCAGCTGTTATAACTTAGAACACATAGTTCCCTAAACCTTGAGGATGTCCTTTAATAACTTTATTCTATTTTCACCTCCCGACTCGCATTTTTTCCTCCATTCAGCTGTCATTGCTGCTTAAAGGGACCGTTGTTGCGCCTCCTGATAAGTTTGGTAAATTTCCTTGGCTCTCTTTTATGGATAAGCCTAATGAATAGTAGATAATGGTTAATGAAAAATGAAAGCTCACTGTCTTTGGAGATCTCCTTTCTCTTGGTAAACGGTTATTGTTATATTCCTTAATGTTCTTTTTGTTTTGTTTCAGGTGAAACACTATCAGATGAGCGAGTAAATGGAGGTGCATTTGTTGGTGCTGATGGTGTTCAATTCCCTCACAAGCTAATACCTGTAAGTTATACGATTGTTACCGGCTTGCTTTCTCAGTACTTATGTTCCACTCATTTCCTTTATTATCTTCTCTTTTTGAAGTATTTTCATAATTCTCGCTAAGCAAACATTTGATAGGTTGTCTTATCCTTCTTTGTAGAATGCAGGGATGCGTCTTTATGGTGGTGCACAATATCACCGGGCAATGGCTGAGTTTCATTTTGTAGTAGGAGGAATCAAGTGTACTCCAATCACTCGGGAAGAAATTGTAAATGCTTGTGGAGTCGAAGACATTCATGATGGGACAAACTACTCTAGGTAATTCTGTGTTTTTACTTATTCATTCTTGTAATATTACTAATCGTTAAAATAATTTTTATACAGCGGCAATTCTGTGTTCCTGATGGTAAGTTCTTCTGCTAAGTTTCACAGAATAATGTGTTCACTCATGTTTCAAATATTTAATACTACCAAATCTGACAAAGACCTTATCTGCATTTTTCAAACTAATGATCTTAAAATTTCTCATGCACCTGTTAAGAAAAAGCTTAGACAAGCTACTAACCAGACACTTCTATTGCTTCAGGATAGCTTCATGATAACTATCCTGAATTTGTTGCTATAAACAGGTTCTTAAAACGATTGAAAAATATTTACGGGCTACTGGAACTGTAAATGAGTATCTATTTAGCAGCTTCCCGCGACTGAGAGCAACTGAACCAACAACACTTAGCATTCCACATCTGCCAAAGGAGAGAGATGGCTACAAACTGCAGCAGAATATTTACGTAATACATAGTCAAAAGGAGTTTTTTGACTAAATCTATGCATGTTTGACATGGAAGCAGCCATTCAGTGGAACTTCCTCTCTTGATTTATGTTTCCACTGTTTTTTCCTAAATCACTCATTTATATCTTTCATTTTTCGCTTTTAATCTTTATTCTTTTCTCATATGTCTGATTCTTTGTTTTTAATGGTTTTTTATGGGTTATTGTTGTGTTGATTTTTACAGATTTAGAGATTTAGTTAGAGGTAAGGGGAATTACTCTAGATCTCACTGTTGAAATTGCAATCGGTAAAGGATGTGGCTTTGTTCAACTTGCTGACAGGTAACAGTTGTGTACGGAATCCCTGGTTATGCCAAACGCTTGCTGCTGTAGAATGTTTCCAAAATCAACATATGAAACATTCTCTACTAAGTTGTTTCAGCATTTCCAGTCTGACCCAAGGTTGGAAAAGGAAAAGTTTTAACAAACAGATTTTATAGTTTCTCATAATGCCGGGAAAGTGAGTATACGTTCCTTTAATTTCTCTTAATTTTACAAATTTAAAGACAGCCACACTTCTTCATGCAGGTCACATATCATACAAATACCTTTTTGGACATAAATCGTGACTATATTGTTGGGGAACATTGTAATCTATTATCTTCTTCAAGTTGCCCTTTTGTGTCCGCTCTTTTCCCTTTGCTACCAGAGGAATCTTCAAGATCATCATACAAGTTTTCTTCAGTAGCTACGAGATTTAAGGTGTGAGAATCTACAACCTTTCATATTGTACTAGTGACTAGGAAATGCATATCATGATCATGATCAAACTCTATAGAATCTATAGATGACTAAATTATTTCAACATCAGTTTTATGTTTACTTAGCTGTTATCTTAATTATTACATTAGTTATATGGAAATTAGGAGAGACTAAGAGACATTTAGGTTAAACCGTGTGTTATGAAAGTAGTACGGAGACTTTATTATATATAGAGAGGTTACAACTAATTACACTATATAATCGATGTGAGACTATTCTACATACAAATATTCTTAACATTATATATTTACAAATATCAACAAAGTATATCGAAAAGATTTTAGTCTCTACTCTATATTAAGGCACAAAAATGGATCATAAATATTATCAACAAAACTTGCAAACTCAGATTTTTACTTGCAGAATGTGATAGAAGTGGAACCATTGAAAGTGAAAATCTGGTTTCTTCCTGATACGTCAATTCTACCTCCATAGCAGAAAACCGAGTTCTGATTTTAAATTCAAGATTTAGAATCTAAAATGTATAGACTTTAATCATACTTCATATCAAGGATTATAGTTCCTTCCGCTGGAGCTTATCCTTTCAACCATATATCTTATAATTGCCCCTGTAATATACTAACATTAATTTTGATCGCGATTTTAAGAGTCTATCGAGTGTAGTGATTGCAAGTGCACAGTCTAATCGTATAGTTTTAAAAGATATCAAATCCACAAGGACTGATAATCGAACTAATGCTATCTAAAGTCACAGTGTAAAGTTAAGGCTAATAATTAATCAGTTTTAGCTCTTTTAGTGCTTTGAAATTGGAGTTTCTTACCAAGTCCACATATGGTTGACCAAACAGAACCTAAGATTTTTTTTAAGGTGGAACTCGCCTTCTAATTGATGGAAGGACTTGCTTGCTTCAGGTGAAACTAATTTATTTCTACCCTTTAAAAATTTGATTTCTTTTTAAGGTGGCTGAGGTGACTAAACCCCTTTCATATGCAGAATGATCACGATCCATCAAAGTTAATTGGAGAGACTCCATGCAAGCTTCTGAGATATTTGGTTGCAGACGACAGTCACATTGATGCAGACACACCATATGCTGAAGTTGAGGTCATGAAGATGTGTATGCCTCTTCTCTCCCCTGCTTCTGGGATTATTCATTTCAGAATGGCTGAAGGTCAAGCCATGCAGGCTGGTGAACTTATAGCAAGGCTTGATCTAGATGATCCTTCTGCTGTAAGAAAGGCAGAACCCTTCACTGGGAGCTTCCCAATCCTGGGCCCTCCTACAGCAATTTCAGGTAAAGTTCATCAGAAATGTGCGGCAAGCTTAAATGCTGCACGGATGATTCTTGCTGGCTACGAGCACAATATTGATGAAGTGAGTAAATTCCTCCCCTTAATTATTTTACGAAATTATTCTGACATTATTTTTGGATTTTATTATTATTCGAAACTTGTATTTGGCTTTCTTATTAACAAGCTAGACATCTGTGTCAGGTTGTGCAAAGTTTGCTCAATTGCCTTGACAGCCCTGAATTACCTTTCCTTCAATGGCAAGAATGCTTTGCAGTTCTGGCAACCCGTCTTCCTAAAGATCTAAGAATTGAGGTAAAGGGACACCTTGCCCGTTTTTCACTCTGATTTAATGTTTTCTGACGTGATCTGACCTACCCTTCAACTATTCTGGTTTGTAGTTGGAAGCTAAATATAAGGAATTCGAGATTAATTCAAGCTCCCAAAATATTGATTTCCCTGCCAAATTATTGAAGGGAATTCTTGAAGTGAGTTGATGTTCCTGAATTGCTCATTCTGATATTTTCCGTTTTAATACAAATAAATTCATGGTGGGTGTTTTATACTGCAGGATCATCTTTTCTCCTGTGCTGATAATGAAAAAGGAGCCTTAGAAAGACTAGTTGAACCTCTGATGAGTCTTGTAAAGTCTTATGAGGGTGGAAGAGAGAGCCATGCCCATAAAATTGTACAATCTCTTTTCGAAGAGTATCTCTCAGTCGAAGAACTATTTAGTGATAATATACAGGTTAGTGTGATTATTTGATTGCTTGTACTAATTTTATGTGTGCAACTTAATCTGTTATGACCTTTTGACTTCTACCAACCAAATTAGCTTTTCTAGATGATGTTCAAAAAATGCATGATTAGTTGTTTTTCTTATTTAGCTTTTACAACACACTGGAATCAACTATTCGTTGTATGTCTCTGTGCTCATAACAAAAAACCCATCAACTCTTTTATTTTTCTTCATTTTTATGTTCATTTCATTGAACTATTTGTTTATCATTCAACTACTTTTAAGCTAAGAAGGAATTTTTACATAAAAGACGTACAATGTATTTCTAATTATTCAGTTTCCCCGAATATTCATAACAATTCCCCTTTCCCCTGCCATCTAGGCTGATGTAATTGAACGACTCCGTCTTCAATACAAGAAAGATTTGTTGAAGATTGTAGATATTGTGCTCTCTCATCAGGTATACACTTTTATAACATACTCAGCTTGAGTGATTTTCCTCCTGGATGTCTTGTTAACACGGTATTGCAATTATATTAACTGCATTTCATGGGTTTCAGGGTGTCAAGAGCAAAAATAAGCTGATACTGCGACTAATGGATAAACTGGTTTACCCTAATCCTGCTGCCTATAGGGATCAATTGATCCGATTCTCTCAACTCAATCATATTATTTATTCTGAGGTTGGTAATGCTATATAGAGGTTTCTTTGACCTGCATCATGTGATATTTTAAAGTGTTACAGTGCCTCTTTTAGTATTTATTTTGTGTATGATATTTTTAATTTCTTTAGATCATTTTGACTCGAATCCTGATTTGTGATCATCTTGACGCAGTTGGCTCTTAAGGCTAGTCAACTTCTTGAACAAACTAAACTGAGTGAACTTCGATCCAGCATTGCACGAAGTCTTTCTGAACTAGAAATGTTTACTGAGGATGGTGAAAATATTGATACTCCGAAGAGGAAGGGTGCCATTAATGACCGAATGGAGGACCTTGTGAGCGCTCCTTTGGCAGTTGAAGATGCTCTTGTGGGCTTATTTGATCACAGTGATAACACCCTTCAAAGGAGGGTTGTGGAAACTTATATACGTAGGCTTTACCAGCCGTATCTTGTCAAAGGCAGCATCAGGATGCAGTGGCACAGATCTGGCCTTATTGCTACGTGGGAGTTCTTAGAAGAATACGTTGAACGGAAGAACGGGGTTGAAGACAAAACACTGGTGGAGAAACATAGTGAGAAGAAATGGGGAGTGATGGTTGTAATTAAATCTCTTCAATTTTTGCCAGCAATTATCAGTGCTGCATTAAGGGAAGCAACCAATAACTTTCACGATGCACTTAAAAGTGGTTCTGTCGACTCAAATAAGCACGGTAATATGATGCATATTGGACTAGTGGGCATCAACAACCAAATGAGTTTACTTCAAGACAGGTGCAGTTTCGGAAATTAAATACATTTTTTCGAACCTAATTTTTGTTTTTTTGTTTTTTCTTTGATTTGTCAAAGCATCAATGGTTGTATTGTAGTGTAGCTTAACTTTTTGGTCTTTTGCAGTGGTGATGAAGATCAGGCTCAAGAAAGAATCAATAAGTTGGCCAAAATACTCAGAGAGCAGGAAGTAGGGTCCATAATACATGCTGCCGGTGTTGGAGATATTAGCTGTATCATACAGAGGGATGAAGGGCGTGCTCCAATGAGGCATTCCTTCCACTGGTCAGCAGAAAAGCTATATTATGAAGAGGAACCCTTGTTGCGGCATCTGGAACCTCCGCTATCCATTTATCTTGAATTGGTCAGTTATTTCACGCTTCAAGTTCCTGTTTTATTATAGAAGGTGCAAAAGAAACATATTTCACTCATATGCTTGATCTTTAACTCATTTAATATTTGGTCTGATTACAGGACAAACTTAAAGGCTATGAGAATATACGCTATACACCATCCCGTGATCGTCAATGGCACCTCTACACTGTTGTGGATACCAAGCCACAACCAATTCAAAGAATGTTTCTTCGAACACTTCTCAGACAGCCAACCACAAATGAAGGATACTCTGTTGCATTCGCTGTTGCACGTTTTTTTCAGCGAGGTGGAACTTTCCAAAATTACTACATGGTAATGCAACCTCACATGTAGTACTATTGTCAAAGAGTGATTATAACTGTGCTAGAATTTGATCAAACGTTATTGTCTCATAATATGCTACTTACTACAAAATGTTATCAGATAACGGCGGATGCTGCGCTGTAGCACTGCAGCATAGCTGAGTTTTAACAAACCCCTATTTTTTGCTATTCCCTATTGACAATATCGCATGTAGTTTAAACTCAGCTAATATGTAAGATAGTAAACCAACTGATACCCCAACTTTTTTTGCTTGCTTGCTCTGAAATAGTACCATGGAGGGACTAACTTTGGCCGAACAACTGGTGGACCTTTCATTTCTACAAGTTATGATTATGATGCACCTATTGATGAGTATGGTATGCAATCTTTCAAATTTCATCTTTATTTTGATGGTATAGAAATATAGAAACTAGCTTGCTTATTCAATCAAGAAGATAAATAAAAAGAGATTGCAACTCAATGTTATTCGATATATAGAAGACAGTAAAAATGAAAAACGTGTTATTGCCTGATGCAGGAATTATTAGACAACCCAAATGGGGGCATCTTAAAGATTTGCATAAGGCCATAAAACTTTGTGAAGAAGCACTTATAGCTACTGATCCAACAATTTCATCTCCTGGTCAATCTAGAGGTAATAAATAATAGGCACTTCGAAGCTTTCATCATAGTTTGCTGGTTTAAGTTTTAAGTTAATCACTGACATGAATGGTTTCGTTATATCTCTTAATATTTACTTTTCAATCTCAGACTTCAGTTTACAAGACAGGATCTGCATGTGTGGCCTTCCTTGCTAACACCGGCACGAACGATGCAACGGTTACCTTCAACGGCAATTCATATCACTTGCCTGGATGGTCTGTGAGCATTTTACCAGATTGCAAGAGTGTTGTTCTAAATACTGCAAAGGTTTGCCTCATCAACTTCCAGTCACACTATATAGTTCAATTTACTAAACTAATTATTAAACTTCTTGTGATTAATCAATCTATTGGTGATATCTTTTCTTCTATTTATTCTTTCCAAAGTAGCATAAACTAAAGTTATTTTTTCGTACGACAGATTAATTCTGCATCTACGATTTCAAGCTTCGCAACTGAATCTGTAAAAGAAGAGGTTGATTCTTTGGGGAGTTCAAGTTCGGGATGGAGTTGGATTAGTGAACCGGTCGGTATTTCAAAGGATGATGCATTCACAAAATCTGGACTTCTTGAACAAATAAACACGACTGCAGATAGAAGTGACTACCTGTGGTATTCATTAAGGTATAAGGAATTTCAAGGTTGAAATAGCTTTATCTTGACGATTGTTTTTCCGTGCCCATGTTAACCTTTTTCAAATTGTTTTGAAGCATTGATGTTGAAGATACTGCCGGTGCTCAACCTGTTCTTCACATTGAATCCCTTGGTCACGCCCTTCATGCTTTTATAAATGGGAAACTTGCAGGTATCTTTCTTTACTTCAATGACGTGTTTCACGAATCATGTAATGAAATTTCGATACGTTAATACCGAGAACTTTTTCAGGGAGTGGAGTAGGAAACAGCGGAAACGCTAAGGTCAAGGTGGACATCCCTATTACACTTGTCTCTGGAAAGAACAAAATTGATCTCCTGAGTTTAACAGTGGGACTACAGGTTCGTATTTTCTGATTATAAAGTACAAAATATGCATCTACGTGTTCATTTCTCAGCTAATGTGAATTTTATGTGCCACAGAACTATGGAGCTTTTTACGACCTAGTGGGTGCGGGGATCACTGGTCCAGTAACATTGAAAGGTTTGAGAAATGGAAGTACTGTTGATCTCTCCTCACAGCAATGGACATACCAGGTTAGTCTTGGCTTAACTTAAGGCCTGTTTTTGTTTCTCCTTCTGAGTTTCTTTAATTAAGTCATAGATTACATGTCTGTATTTTTGTGAATGCAGATTGGTCTTCAAGGTGAAGATTTAGGTTTGTCTAGTGGAAGTGTTGGACAGTGGAATTCACAATCTAACTTACCTACAAATCAACCTTTGACTTGGTACAAGGTAATCTTAATAAGAATAGAGCATTTGTTAAAATTCTCATGTTTTTCTTCAGCTGACTAATCTCAATGTGTTATATTAGACGAACTTCATTGCTCCTTCTGGAAGTAACCCAGTTGCAATTGATTTCACGGGGCTAGGAAAAGGAGAAGCCTGGGTGAATGGACAGAGCATTGGACGATACTGGCCAACATACGTCGCTCCAACTTCTGGCTGTACTGACTCATGCAATTATAGAGGATCCTATTCTTCATCGAAATGTCTCAAGAACTGTGGAAAACCATCACAAATATCATTTCTCCTTTTTTAATGAGCTTCGTTTGGAATGATGATGTTGTCTCCTGTTGATCTAAATCTCACAAAAAATAAACCTAACATTCACTATTTTAGGTCCTTTTGTCAATTTGCTCGTTGCTGACGGATCCAAATCCCGACGACCCTAAACCCTAAACCCTAAAAGGGACAAGGCGAGGACAAAGGAAATTGAACTCTTAATGCAAATGCAGAATTTTAGTGGAAGACAGGTATATTATTTTGACGCATTTAAAGTTAAATTTTATGAGTATTATTTTAAAGATTATTATTTTAATACCTTTTTTTAGGGATTGGAATCACCCGCTGATGGTAGACGTTCATCTGAGTCTAGCTACCGTATTGGAGATAATGGAACTTCAGGGGGGACAAATTAGACTTTGCTATGATCGAGATAATTAGATTGTGAACTTTCTCATGTATTTTTGGCATAATGATACTTATTATTATAAGATTAGGAATTGATATATTTTGGGTTTTTTGTACTACTTGACATGATTATGGAACTCGCATTTTACATGATTATGGAACACACATTTTTTTGGATATTATAATGCTTATTTGATGTTAAATATTTTTTATTGAAATTATTTTTACTATATTACAAAGTGATAGAAAATAAAACAAAAAATAATACTATAAATAAATATATTAAAGAAGAAATAATTTAAAGAAAAAAATAACACAAAAAAAAACTATATTTAAAATTTTTTACATAGATAATAATTTAAATAAAAAATATATATAATAGAAAAAAAAAAATCAAGACATAAACAAAAGTCATGGCGACAGTACCGAACCGTCGTAATCAACAAAAGTCATGACGGTATCGAACCGTCGCCAAAAACAATTTAATCAATTTCAAAAGATATTCACGACAGTATCGAACCGTCGCCATCAATAATTAAAAGAAACTCAAAAGATAGTCACGACGGTATCAACCCGTCGTAAACTTGAACGACAGTTTTTGTAACCGTCGCGAAATAGGTTGGGGACACACACTTCTGCGACGGTAAAGCAACCGTCGTGGAAAGCAAATTGCGACGGTTTTAACCGTCGTAATCTACAAAAATACCTGTCGCAATCTGCCAATTTTCTTGTAGTGACAGTGGAACAAGTCTCCAATACGCGCAAAGCGTGCGGGAAACCTGCAAGATTAACACTCCAATAGAAAGTTAGTGAAAGAATCAAAAGTGGCATGAGAGTGAATTCAAATACTTGAATTGTCGCACTTTCACTTTTATAAAGCATGAGCGGTTAATATTATGACATATTAGAACATCCACATCCATCATACCCATTTAGGTTCTTTAAATGGGACTCACATAATTTTTTATATTATTTCACACTTCTCAATTTTTTAAACAACTCATCTACAATTCTCAAATATCCATGTAACTCATCAAAAAATCTAAAATGGGTACCACATTTAAAACAAATCAACTACATTCTTACAATTTTATTTATTAATTTATTATCATGACCCACTTAATTGGAGTGTAGAAGCGTGTTTTAGTATGAGGGCGTGCTTTAGTTCAGGAACGTGAAAACAAGTGAAATATCCATTTATTATTGACACAATTTCTTTAAAAAATGTGTAAGAACTCTCAAAGAACACCGATAATCATACTCTTAGATAACTCTTTATTGCATATTCATATAATAAATATCATTGTTTGATTGAAAGTTGTTATCATATATGTCATCATATCTAAAATTTATATTAACTAACAACTATTTAATATGTCAATAAATTATATAAAAATTAATATGTTTGTTAAGAATTTGTAAGATGTTGATTTTTATATATTTTATTGATATATTAAACAAACACTAGTGTTATATTTTATATAAAGAATTTATTTGATAGTAATTTTAAATCAATAATAAATTTTTTATATCAGATTAAAAATATATATTAAATAAAACTACATTATTTTAATAATTTAATTTGTGAGTATTGTGTAAATTTGTAAAAAAAAAAACAACTATTGAGACATTCATTCTATTAAATCAAATCATTTAAATATTTATTATGATATTTTATTAAACTAACCAATAAAAATGTTATTAAATTGTAATATAATCGAATGTAATAGTAAAATGTTTACATAAAAAATTTATATATTGTGTTAAGCCCCCTCTCTCTATAGAGAGGAAACGTGGCACAAAATGAAAAATTACTTTTATAAGAGTTTGTATTGACCGTAACAACTCAGTCAAATAGTGGAAATAGATAAAGATAGGATTCACGTAGATTGCAAAATAACTCCCGCCATTTTTTCACGTAGATTGCAAAATAACTCCCGCCATTTTTTCTTTCAGTTAATGAATTTTGTGCTATATATATTCGATCATCAATCTACCTAATCATCCAACAACTTTGAGTTACGTTTCCTTTAGCAAAAAAAATCTTAATCTCTTACAATGGCTCAACTCATTTCTCGTGAAGAGCGCCAAGGAAAGATCAATGCTGCATGTGCTTCACTTATTGAGTTTGGTTTCCCCGTGGATCTATTTTCAGTGAAGAACATTTTGGGTCTCGGCTACACGGAGGACGAGTTTATAGAGTTTGTTCAACCCATTTCCTCTATCACTGATATGAGAGAGTTAGAGTATCTCTTCAAGGAAGCTCGTCAGAGTTTGCATTATTCAATTCCCACTGAATTGAAGAAGTTCATGTACTGTGTGAACTGGATCACGAATTCTGAGCCAGGCAAGAAAATTATGCTTGCTTTGAAACGCTCCAGAATGAGTAGTGTTGAAAGTAAAGAAATGTCTGAGGCTGATCTCAAGATTGGTCACATGATTGTGAAATCGGTTGCTTCACGTAAGCAAAGGTGCCGGCAAATTTCCTCGGAGATTCAACAGTTGAGGAAACGTCAAGAAAATTTGGAGATAGAATCTGTAAGATTCTATTCTGAATCAAAGGAAGAGTTTGGTCCGTTTTGGGGCTACAATGAGCTTCACATATCTGAATTGAGACTTCAGTGCTACGAGCTATACTTGGAGGATTGTAAATCCAAGGGTATAGATGCCCTCCCTATCGATGAATTGGGTTTTGATCTCGTCTTGGAGTCTTTTGGCAGCATTGTGAAAGAGCGACATGTTCTCGAGTTCTTGAAAGAACCCATCATGAAAGCTCCGTTTCAAAACTATTTTAGAGAAAAATTTACGAGTCTTGCTGTTGACGGTGTAGATATGAAGTACGTCGGTGGTGGCAACTGGGTGATTGCTGACTCAGAAGTTTCCGATGGGATTTATATTCATGGAGTGAAGGCTACCCACGGCAAGAAGGCAACCGAAGACGGCGAAAAGGCCAAGGAAGGAGTTTCCGAAGACGAAAAGGCCAAAGAAACTGTTCCCGACGGCGAAAAGGCCAAGGAAGGAGTTTCCGAAGACGAAAAGGCCAAAGAAACTGTTCCCGACGACGAAAAGGCCAAGGAAGGAGTTTCCGAAGATGAAAAGGCCAAAGAAACTGTTCCCGACGACGAAAAGGCCAAAGAAGGTGTTTCCGGCGATGAAAAGGCCAAAGAAACTGTTCCCGACGGCGAAAAGGCCAAGGAAGGAGTTTCCGAAGACGAAAAGGCCAAAGAAACTGTTCCCGACGACGAAAAGGCCAAGGTAGGAGTTTCCGAAGATGAAAAGGCCAAAGAAACTGTTCCCGACGATGAAAAGGCCAAAGAAACTGTTCCCGACGACGAAAAGGTCAAAGGAATCTGAATGGGAAATTTGTAGTGGGCTTACAAATACTTTCATTGGGCCATTAAAAGAAAGCCCAACTAGGGACTCAGTATTTTGGTTATTTTTTTACTAATGACTAGTACTTAGTCTTTAAAATCAGTATTGTATGTGAAACACCGCAGCTTTAATCTTTCAATGATAAATATAAATTTTTCTTTGTGTACTTGATTTCAATTCTATGGCTGTATCATTTAGATTCACTTAAGAAACATGGCTTTTAGGTAATTGATTTTAAAAAGATTTATCATTTTGGGGCCATGATCTGGTTATACAATTGACTCTTCTGCTGCTCCATTCTGTTACTCGGAGTTCCGTAGTTCCACAATCTGCAAATTTCAAGGCAATATTATGCTTTCTTTCTGATATTGACTGAACCGTTATGCATTCTGAGATATAGCAGATTATGTGATTTCCTTTTTCACAACTCTTCTTCAGCTTTTCTGTTCTGAGATAAGGTAATATTGCTAGAATCGCGGTGTTGCAATCCAAACTCACGCACAATGATGTTCTCATTTATACTTTTGTACACTTGTCATAGATTTCAAATTCACTTCCTAATACTTTGTAACAATGCTTTACCCGGTTTTTTCAAATTCACATCCTTTTATTTAAATCTTTTCAGCTGTTATAACTTAGAACACATAGTTCCCTAAACCTTGAGGATGTCCTTTAATAACTTTATTCTATTTTCACCTCCCGACTCGCATTTTTTCCTCCATTCAGCTGTCATTGCTGCTTAAAGGGACCATTGTTGCGCCTCCTGATAAGTTTGGTAAATTTCCTTGGCTCTCTTTTATGGATAAGCCTAATGAATAGTAGATAATGGTTAATGAAAAATGAAAGCTCACTGTCTTTGGAGATCTCCTTTCTCTTGGTAAACGGTTATTGTTATATTCCTTAATGTTCTTTTTGTTTTGTTTCAGGTGAAACACTATCAGATGAGCGAGTAAATGGAGGTGCATTTGTTGGTGCTGATGGTGTTCAATTCCCTCACAAGCTAATACCTGTAAGTTATACGATTGTTACCGGCTTGCTTTCTCAGTACTTATGTTCCACTCATTTCCTTTATTATCTTCTCTTTTTGAAGTATTTTCATAATTCTCGCTAAGCAAACATTTGATAGGTTGTCTTATCCTTCTTTGTAGAATGCAGGGATGCGTCTTTATGGTGGTGCACAATATCACCGGGCAATGGCTGAGTTTCATTTTGTAGTAGGAGGAATCAAGTGTACTCCAATCACTCGGGAAGAAATTGTAAATGCTTGTGGAGTCGAAGACATTCATGATGGGACAAACTACTCTAGGTAATTCTGTGTTTTTACTTATTCATTCTTGTAATATTACTAATCGTTAAAATAATTTTTATACAGCGGCAATTCTGTGTTCCTGATGGTAAGTTCTTCTGCTAAGTTTCACAGAATAATGTGTTCACTCATGTTTCAAATATTTAATACTACCAAATCTGACAAAGACCTTATCTGCATTTTTCAAACTAATGATCTTAAAATTTCTCATGCACCTGTTAAGAAAAAGCTTAGACAAGCTACTAACCAGACACTTCTATTGCTTCAGGATAGCTTCATGATAACTATCCTGAATTTGTTGCTATAAACAGGTTCTTAAAACGATTGAAAAATATTTACGGGCTACTGGAACTGTAAATGAGTATCTATTTAGCAGCTTCCCGCGACTGAGAGCAACTGAACCAACAACACTTAGCATTCCACATCTGCCAAAGGAGAGAGATGGCTACAAACTGCAGCAGAATATTTACGTAATACATAGTCAAAAGGAGTTTTTTGACTAAATCTATGCATGTTTGACATGGAAGCAGCCATTCAGTGGAACTTCCTCTCTTGATTTATGTTTCCACTGTTTTTTCCTAAATCACTCATTTATATCTTTCATTTTTCGCTTTTAATCTTTATTCTTTTCTCATATGTCTGATTCTTTGTTTTTAATGGTTTTTTATGGGTTATTGTTGTGTTGATTTTTACAGATTTAGAGATTTAGTTAGAGGTAAGGGGAATTACTCTAGATCTCACTGTTGAAATTGCAATCGGTAAAGGATGTGGCTTTGTTCAACTTGCTGACAGGTAACAGTTGTGTACGGAATCCCTGGTTATGCCAAACGCTTGCTGCTGTAGAATGTTTCCAAAATCAACATATGAAACATTCTCTACTAAGTTGTTTCAGCATTTCCAGTCTGACCCAAGGTTGGAAAAGGAAAAGTTTTAACAAACAGATTTTATAGTTTCTCATAATGCCGGGAAAGTGAGTATACGTTCCTTTAATTTCTCTTAATTTTACAAATTTAAAGACAGCCACACTTCTTCATGCAGGTCACATATCATACAAATACCTTTTTGGACATAAATCGTGACTATATTGTTGGGGAACATTGTAATCTATTATCTTCTTCAAGTTGCCCTTTTGTGTCCGCTCTTTTCCCTTTGCTACCAGAGGAATCTTCAAGATCATCATACAAGTTTTCTTCAGTAGCTACGAGATTTAAGGTGTGAGAATCTACAACCTTTCATATTGTACTAGTGACTAGGAAATGCATATCATGATCATGATCAAACTCTATAGAATCTATAGATGACTAAATTATTTCAACATCAGTTTTATGTTTACTTAGCTGTTATCTTAATTATTACATTAGTTATATGGAAATTAGGAGAGACTAAGAGACATTTAGGTTAAACCGTGTGTTATGAAAGTAGTACGGAGACTTTATTATATATAGAGAGGTTACAACTAATTACACTATATAATCGATGTGAGACTATTCTACATACAAATATTCTTAACATTATATATTTACAAATATCAACAAAGTATATCGAAAAGATTTTAGTCTCTACTCTATATTAAGGCACAAAAATGGATCATAAATATTATCAACAAAACTTGCAAACTCAGATTTTTACTTGCAGAATGTGATAGAAGTGGAACCATTGAAAGTGAAAATCTGGTTTCTTCCTGATACGTCAATTCTACCTCCATAGCAGAAAACCGAGTTCTGATTTTAAATTCAAGATTTAGAATCTAAAATGTATAGACTTTAATCATACTTCATATCAAGGATTATAGTTCCTTCCGCTGGAGCTTATCCTTTCAACCATATATCTTATAATTGCCCCTGTAATATACTAACATTAATTTTGATCGCGATTTTAAGAGTCTATCGAGTGTAGTGATTGCAAGTGCACAGTCTAATCGTATAGTTTTAAAAGATATCAAATCCACAAGGACTGATAATCGAACTAATGCTATCTAAAGTCACAGTGTAAAGTTAAGGCTAATAATTAATCTTGAATTTTGGATGAGACGAAAATAAACTTAGATTTAAATGAAATATTCGATAACGTGACACCAATATGTAATATGTCGGACTTCGAATTGACATAGCTTTGAGTATTTAAAACACTATTTCAGTAGAAACTATCAATTTAAAAACATTTATCTCATACTCGTGATTATTGATTCGGACTATATTATTGAACTTAAGTGCCTGCTCTCGCTGTCTCATTTAAAATCTAGAAATACTTTTTGAAAACAAATAGAATCTAATTAATCCTAAACCGCTCTCGCTGTATTTAAAACTAATGTTCGATTACTACTATCCGATTAAAATCTCAAACTCTCATTATATCGATTTTAATCTTCGTTTGTCTTTTACTCGTAACAAAACAGTTTTAATATTAAATGTTGGAAACCAAACCAGAAAAGTATTTTATAAATGTTTATGCCAATTCATTATCAAACCCCTTCGGTTCTATGAGCTTACATACTGGTATCAGGGAAATTAGCCAGACATGTTATTGAGTATCAACACAATTACAGTAATCAAACAATGACATAATAATGATTATTAAGTAAAAATAGTATATATAAATGAAATAAGATCCTGGAATTAATAAAATTAATGTTAAACTTCTAATACCAAGTGCAATCCTCCATAATATGTCGGTAGAATTTGCTCTGCGGAAAATAATAACTTGAATGCAGGAAGAATATAAACTAAAACAAAGTCTGAAAGATGTGAATAAAATCTATTCGTTGTTTATTGTGGAAAATGGTAAACAACCGCTAGTCCTCCCAGAGTCCTAAACTGAGGGTAACTTGCAAGATCAACCAGTTGATCTCAGGACACGTGCTAAGAGCTTTACTATCACACCTATTCCGTCGAAATATTAGTCAAGGGAGATGATTTTCTTTTGACTGGGAGAACATGTGTAATGGTTTTCCACACTATGATTTTTGATCGACTGACTGGTGACGTGACCGACAAAAGATATTCATATGAAAGCGAGACTTACTAAACTAACTGACTGGTGACTCGTGACCAACAGATAGTGTCAAATTGTTTATGTGAAATAGAAGATAACGTATAGATCTTGCTCGATAGTAAATAGAAAGCAGATAAAATACTCAAAAGATATAATTGAAAGATAAAGGATCTGCATTAAAATAATAATGGTGATTCACGTACATCAAACACTCTTCACTCTTGATTTTCTAATGCTCGGAATGACAGAGTTTGACAAATGATTTGAGAGTACAAGTGAACACACCACAAACTATACTAAATCTGCTTATTTATAGTGTTTACAATGTAACTACCTAGATAAAATCTACGACTAACATTAACATCTTGAGGTAACTGCTTCACTAGATGTTGTCACCTATTTGACGCTCAAACACATCGTGGATTGCTGGTAACTGCTCATGATTTTGAAGTTCCACCTATTTGGCGCTTAAATACATCATGGATTGCTAGTAACCGCCCATGATTCCTCTAAACCTCTTGAACGTAAACCGCTTCTGCCTACACTTTCTTTCTGGCAAAGAATAACCATACTTCCTCTAAGTCCAAGAAACCCTTTTTTGTCGACTAAAACCATTTTCGACCAAATCCTTGTCTTTCACCATTTGGTCGACTAAACCAATTTTGACCTCTTGACATATGTTCTTTTATTTCTTTCTAGTCGACGTAGTTCAGTTTCGACAGTTTCAGTGTGACTCCTTTTAAACATTAACTCTAACTTAATAAAATCAGCTTTTCAAACACTAGCTCCCGCTTCCCAGAAAACCCTTACTTTGGAGGATGACTCCTAACGTACTTGAATACCTTAAGATTTTTCAAGGTAATAAAATGTCCCCCAAAGATGCCATTTTCAAATTTTGACTAATATGATATAATGGCATCTTTGAAGCGTCGGTTTCACCATTCGACCAAATCGTTTCCATTTCTCTAAAAGTGAATATTATTGTTCTGTCTTTTCCGTGACGTCATGTAATCATGGTAGCGTACCACGCTTTTCAGTTTCGAGACGTGTGACATTAATTTTTGCCATCATTGCGCTTTTAGTGGGAAACGTGGCCCACTAACTCACGTTGATCTTGCAGCACGCATCCCACAAACCGACGTGATTTGAACTTGAGAAATCGCAAAAGATTTTTCCCATTATTTCCTCCTTCCTCAGGGTCTATAAATATCCTTATTTCTCATTTTTTTTTCTATTTTTCTTCACTTCTTCAACCGTTGCTTTTAGAAAAAACACAAACTACACACTTCATCGTTGTTCTTCATTTTCATCCTCCTTCAAACCTTTTACAATGGCGAATGTTAAAAATCAAACTTCCTCTCCAACAATCGCTCTTCAACTGCGTCTTGCCAACGACAAAACTTATGTGCCCGAACCTCCATTTGCTGAGGAGAAAGCCAAAATCTGGCAATCTCAGGTACTTATCCCTTTCTCTCTTGAAGAGAAACCCCTAGCCTTTTTAGAGCCGCTTCCTACTGATGCACCCTCCGAAATCTATGTAGATGATAAAGAGGCATTTTTTCTTACTAGTACTACTACCAGACCCATTATTTCTTCTCCAAACCTTATATCGCTTAAATATATTGACAAGAACTTTAGAGCCGCTCCACCTCTACATTGCCCTAAATTTCGTGCTTGGATGGCACGTTTAAAAACCGCCAAAGGAGACCAATGGAAAATGATGGGTATTTATACCCTGCTAGAACTTTCTCGATGTGGTCAACCTTATTCTAGTGGCATGCTCCTAGCTGCCATACATTTCTAGGAGGGATCAACTAACACCTTTCATACTAAATGTGGTATGATCACTCATACTCTGTTCGACGTTGTTGCCATCACAGGGCTAAAATCATCTGGCACAGTTTTCAACTATAGAGATGTTGAACCTGTGCCACTAAGGTTCGATGTGGGTTAAGCTGGAAAACCAACATATAATAATTTCATCGACCATCATGCTCAAATCTCTGGTCCTGTAACTGATGAAAAGCATGTGGCGTTTCTAACCTTATGGCTGTCTCGCTTTGTTTTTTGTTCCAGGTCGATGTAGGTGGCCAAACAATTTTCTTATCTGGCTCCCCAATTGCATATGGGTGGGAATGTTGCTTTAGGACAACTGATTTTGGCCTCTCTTTATACAACTTTGACTGATGCTGCTAACCAAATAAAGCGTTTTGACCCTAATAATCCAAAGAAAAAGAATTGTTGTACCCCAAAATTTACTCTCTCATTTATCAAGCATTTTCTCACAAAATCTCCTTTGGTTCAAGATTGCACAAAGATTGATCAGCTCAAGACACCTCCTTAAGCAATGATGATTGGAATTAGGGTTTGGGATTGCACACAGATAATTGAACTTTTAATGCCTCATATGACTTTCATAGATCATTATGGACCCCCAAGATTGCTCATGTCAAGTTTCAAGTCTTGAATCACACTTTTGCTCAGTCAATTGAGCAGTTGACCTAAAAATCAACTATATTGGGGAAAAAGTCAACTGTGGCCAATTTAGAGTCAAACTTCATAATTTTTTATTCATATCAATATTATGAACTCATATGTATCATTTGATCAAGTTTGGACCACAATTCCTCAAGAAATTTGATCAGATCATCAAAAGGGCAAAATGGTCAAAATTAGAATTTTGACTGAGAAAAGACAATTTCTGATTTTTGACCTAGCAAATGGTTGATTGGTTGGAAACATGATCTCAAGGATTCAATTGCATCATTTTGATCTAATGGCATGACTCAAAACATCCCTCAAGATCAATTGATTGATAATTGATTTTCAGTCAACTGATCAAAAGTCAACTATATACTGAAAAGTTAAACTTTGACTTTTTGGTCAAAATCAAGTGTCAAAGATCACAATTCATCAAAATATGTCAAAATATGAAACTTGTTCATCAAGAAATCAAAAAGTCAAGATTTCATTTTGAAAAGTCAAAGTTTCCAAACTTAGAAATTTTTTTAAGTGTTGAAAACTTCATATTTTTTCACAACTTTGAGCCAATTTTTCACTATGATGCAAGATGATTCAAAA